GTTACGCCTTCTTTCTTTGCGTGAACATTTGGGAGGCGTTATGCAAATCTTCCCAGATCGTGACGTAGGTATGTGGGGGCGTGTTAGAATGAGGCGTTTTAGGTAGGCGTGGTTAACTTTTAACTTTTAAAGAATATCTCTTTGATTTTGAGACTTTAGTCTTTGCAACTTTACAGATCTTCTTTACGCACCAAGAGCTTGTAACACTCCAAAGAGAAAGGAAAAATTTAAATTGCATCATATGACCCCTTTAAAATATTCAAGTAGCCACTAGCCACAAAGGAACCAATGACATTAATAAACCAGTGAGAGGCAGCAGTGCACTAATATGTTGCTATTGTGCAACAAAACAACAGAAGAAGAAGAAAAGAAAAAGAGTCTTAATAGACTTTTCACTCATTTCCTCCATGTCTGCAGTTATCTTTCACTAGTTGCATTCACTCGTTTCCCAAAGTCATCATGAATATTACATTTTCAATACAACTGAAATATTTGAGAGAAAATCACATAAGCTAACTTCATAAATTGATGTTGATTTTCCTAAGAAAAAAATGTTTTAACTCACCGTTATAATGATTAGCATTCCCTTTGGTTGGGCACTTGGAACTTCATTTATGTTACTGCAATTTTAACCTGTATATGCATCAGTGCATCATGAAGTCAGAATTATTTGATTTCAAGGAAAGCAGAACAATAAATAGATTGCTTATTAATAGATTTGTGTAATAATTTATTAACTTTTTCAAGTTTCATTGTTCATAAATACCTTGAGATGGTATTAATTGGGTTTATATAGTCCTTAAATAGTGTGTGATAATATGCAAAAGTCACACACAGACTTTAACATTCAGCACGTGAGTCTGGTAACAATGGTAACAATTCAATTTCATTTATTTTCATTAATTATAACAATAACCATTTTATTTGCTCTTTTTGTTGTGCTACAACTGACACAAGACAGCAAATAAAATTAACAACTGTAAAACAAAGCAACTGCATAATGTATTAATGCCGGAATGCACTCTGGGAGTCAGTGAGTAGCTATAAGTCAAACCTAAATGAAAGGATCGAGTATATATATGTATTAAGAAGTCTTTGAATTATTTTATTATTACAGTTTAAAATAATGTTTTTCTATATATACTTTAAAATATAATTTATTCCTGTGGTGGCCAAGCTAAATTTTCATCAACCATTACTACAGTCTTCAGTGTCACATAAACCTTATTTGTAAATATTAAAATAATTTGAGTACTAAAGCTAATCTAGTTTGGTCTTGTTTATTTTATTTTTTTTTTATTTAAATAAAAAGATGAGGAGTTGGGGTGGCAGACAAACACTGAAAAAATGGTCAGAACTGGGTCAAACAGCCGTTTATATGTTTTGCGAACAACAAACATTTTTTAGACTTACATGCGAATATTTCAGTGTGTGTGCTTCAATAAACTATTTAATCATAAAACACTTATTTAACCCTCATGTGGTGTTCGGGACCTTTTTGCTCTGAGAAAATTTTCTTTTTTTCCGAAAATACTAGTTAATGTTATCACATTGGACTGAAATTTAGTGACTTTGTTGACAAAGGGTATAACTACTTAAAAAAAAAATTTGATCATTTTAATTCATACTTTTTTGGAGGAGATTTTTCACCTTGTTACACTTGTGGTGTTCCTAGGCAAAAATGACCTGGCCTCAAAGAAATGCTTATAAATCACTCATTATGCTATATTATCACCAAATATTGGATTCAATCTTTTTGTCAACTTCTTTTCTTTAATTTAAGACTAGTTTTGTATTTATATTTGCTTCTAATTAATCGTAGGCCTCATTTATCTGAGAGTAGGCACCTCATTTTTTGAGTGAAAAAAGCATTATTTATGAATAATTTTCACAATATTAAATAAAAACTGATGAAAATGTACACTGTTTATCACACTAGTGTACTTTAATGTTTAATCAGGGAGTTTGTTTTGAAATGCTTTTATCTTGTACAAAATGGCACAAAGTCACACTTGTGGTGTTCCCAGGCAAAAATGTCCAGCCATTCAAAGTGAATGGGAAAGAATGAAAGTAATAGAAACTATTAGTGTTCAGGAGCATGTTGATCATGTTCATATATGTACAAATGTTCTCTATATAAGAATCATAAAGGGATAGTTCACCCAAAAATGAAAATTCTGTCATTAATTACTCACCCTCATGTCGTTGCAAACCCGTAAGACCCCGTTCATCTTCGGAACACAAATTAAGATATTTTTGATGAATTCTGAGAGCTCTCTGACCCTCCCATAGAAAGAAATGTAATTACCACGATCAAGGTGCAGATACGTAGCAAGGAGATCGGTAAAATAATCCATGTGACATCAGAGGTTCAACCATAATTTTACAAAGCTACGAGAATACTTTTTGTGCGCAAAAGAAAACAAAAATAACGGTTGAAATAACGGATTATTTTACCGATCTCCTTGCTACGTCTTTGGACCTTGATCGTGGTAATTACATTGCTGTCTATGGGAGGGTCAGAGAGCTCTCAGAATTCATCAAAAATATCTTAATTTGTGTTCTGAAGATGAATGAAGGTCTTACGGGTTTGGAACAACATGAGGGCGAGTAATTAATGACTGAATTTTCATTTTTGGGTGAACTAACCCTTTAAT